AAAAAACTAGACTAAAATCCATCAAATCTTATTTCCTCGAATACAAGCAATACTATCCACGATTTCCCACACAAAAATTTGAATATTCAATGTTTTCTTTAGATCGTACTTGAATTTTGGTCATTCGAAACCGGATATATATCAAAAAACTAGACTAAAACCCAGCAAATCTTATTTCGATAACATATTCTGAAATTTTCGTAAAAAATCTTTTTTCGTTGTAGATATAAAAGTTTGAAAAAAAATGCGATTTTTAGCAGTTTTTTTTGCAATAAGTAATACAGTGAAAAATCAGTTATGCTACTATCCATGATTTCCCACACAAAAATTTGAATTTTCAATGTTTTCTATTAATCGTACTTGAATTTTGGTCCTTCGAAACCAGATATATTTCAAAAAAACTAGACTAAAATCCATCAAATCTTATTTCCTCGAATACAAGCAATACTATCCACGATTTCCCACACAAAAATTTGAATATTCAATGTTTTCTTTAGATCGTACTTGAATTTTGGTCCTTCGAAGCCGGATATATTTAAAAAACTAGACTAAAATCCATCAAATCTTATTTCCTCGAATACAAGCAATACTATCCACGATTTCCCACACAAAAATTTGAATATTCAATGTTTTCTTTAGATCGTACTTGAATTTTGGTCCTTCGAGGCCGGATATATTTAAAAAAACTAGACTAAAATCCATCAAATCTTATTTCCTCGAATATAAACAATACTATCCATGATTTCCCACACAAAAATTTGAATATTCAATGTTTTCTTTAGATCGTACTTGAATTTTGGTCCTTCGAAGCCGGATATATTTAAAAAACTACGACTAAAACCCAACAAATATTATTTCATTTACAGTATGTTTAAACATATTTCCAAAACACCCGTTAATTTAGTTTTCTAATTCTAGGAACACATACATATGTACAATTCTCTAACGATTATATTAAAAAAAGTACTTACTGTGCTTTTTCTTGGGCGGCAACGGCGGCGGTCTGCAGCCGTCTTGTTCGAGGGTACTGGCAATGCTTGTGCTGCTCGACAAGCTTTGGTGCGACTGGTGTCTCTCACAGGTTATCAGTAATTCGCCTGCGCACAAAAAAAAATCAAAACTGAACTTAAATTAGATACCACGCATGTACAGAGTGAATCAAATTGGATGGAAAAGCTGCTTACAATGCGACGGAGCAGTTTTTGAAACGATTTTGTTGAGACGCAGCGAAAAAATATGTCAAAACAAGTATTACAGCTGCCGTACCGGGTATTTTTATGTAACTTTTACGTTCTCATCGAAGTTGCATCACCCTATACAGACGAAAAATAAACGCTGCAATCTCGAGGTTAATAAAACGGCATGCACGCCACCCACCTAACTTCTCATCAGGTACATTATCGTAAGGCGAGGGCTGCCTATCAGTCTTTCTTTTAGTCTTCTGCGGGATGGCGGGCGGGATCTCCTCGTTCGAGAAATCCAGCTCGTCCCTGCCCAGGCCGGCGTTCGCGACCATGACGACGGAACTGCTGCTGCTCGAGCTGTGGCTGAAATTCTTGAACGACAACTGGTTCTCGAAACTCCTGTGCAGGTTCTGTAGCAGGCTCTCGGACTGCGCCATCTCCGATACATTCGAGGAGTGCTTGGACATGTGATGCGTGAACTGCGTACTGATCGAGCTCTGCTGGGAGCTCCGTTTCGAGTAGCTCGAACGGATCGAGAGGATGCCGGAATCGGTGTTGGATAAACGGTGGTAGTCGTTGACGGACGTGTGCCTCTCGTTGTTGCTGTTCGATATGCTAGAACTCAACGAGGATTCCTCCCAGGAATTCGAGCCGTTCGCCCCTAAATTAGCATTAATTTCAAAAACGCACTCCAAAGGAAAGTCAGCGGGGTGTTAATGAATTAATCCAAGCTAGAACGCGGTCGGAACGGACGAGATACTCACCGAAAATGTCCGTGGTGTGGTTGTCGAGCATCATGTCGGAATCGCCGTCCATTAGAGCCTTGATTTCGTCCTCCTCCCTCGACGAGTGGTTTAACATGGAGTCTACGCTACCGGCGCTCTCCGAAAGCAAGGATATTGAGTCCTCTGGGGATTTTGACCGCATCGAGACCCTACAAAAATATAAATTCCATTAAAAACAATATTACGTGAGCTATATGCAGGTCACTCTTTGCCAGTAGGTACAAAATAATACTTTCAGTTGAGAATGGCAAAGGGACAGAGGCGATAAACATTTTCACGCAGACATTCTACATTTGAACTACTTCGCCGCCCTCACCTTTCTAAACTACTAGCTATCGGCGAATGGTCCACACTGAACCCCTCGTCCATGAACGGATGCGCCCTGAAGCTCTTCTTCTTAGGCGGCAAGGGTGGGGGGGTGACGCAACTGCTGGGATCCGACCGACACACGTTCTCCGGCAACGGCGGTTTCGGAGGCGGACTAGAATCCCTCAGGATGGACTCGGTGCTGTGGCTGCTGCGCACCATCGAGGGGGTCACGCACGACGTCTGTTCCAGGATCTGTCTCTCCCTGGGCGTGAGCGGTATGTCGGGGAGGGAGTTTCGTTGCGCCGGCATCTCCAAGCTGCTGTTGCCGTACGTCGACCTGGGCGTTGTCTTGTAGGTTATTTGCTGGTGCGAGATTTTTTCTTGAGCTAGGTTTATGAGATCCTGGAATAACGTACGTATCGTCAAACGTTGAAAAAACAATTGAATTAAATGGCAAAGGATGGAAAATATACTTAAGTCATTTAAAGTGGAAAAGTTTCTGTGAAATTATGTCGGAAATAGCTTAATTTTCAAAACACAGATTAGTAGGTCACTTTGTCAGTAGGTACAAAACAATGCTTCATACCAGTAGGCACTGAGTAACAATGGCATTTAAGGTTTGACATTTACTTTGAAGGTTATGTCACTATGATCCCCAACATTTTTTATTTATTTTAATCAAAAATAAACATAGAAAAACGGTAAATGAAAAGGAAATTATTGTTGCAACTATTCTTATTTTTAAATCAAAGATTTTAGAATATATTTTTGAAAATTATTAGTTATCCCTTTCCTTTTTTATGTTTTCAAAGTTTCAAGATTAAGATTCTTGAGAAATTCTATTCAATGCAAGGTTGGAGGATATACAATAACCGATTAGATATTTCATCTAAATACAAATATTTTTCAGCGGAAACATTGACATTAAAATGTCTCAATGGAGATATGAAATGAGATATACCTGTAATTATACAAAAGTTTTGTAACGAGTATTTATAAATATTTGCAAAAGAATTAATAACTGCAAAAAAATATTTGTTATGTAAAATGTAAAACTGTTCAAGAAACATCAGAAACATGTAGACCGATCGAAATAACTCATTTAGAGGGAGAAAAAACAAATGTTACCTGGACTTTTATAAGTGGAAATGGTAAAGAGGCTTATAATAAACAAAAAAAAAATAAATGCGTGAGCAGGGGTGGCGGAGGGTTGATTTGGGGGGTTGAAAAATTGTATCATTGGGATTTCTGCCAAAAGTTAGCGTCAAACAAAAAAGTATCCAATACAAAAGTTGTAGATCGTGCAAAAATCTACAACTTTTGTAGAGGTGACTTTTTAAGGTAACCTCAAAATTTTCGAGAAAAATGTGAAAAACCGTTTTTTCTCTTATTTTTCGTTTTTTTATTTATCATTTCCGCAAAAATAATTTAATTTTAACGAAACTTGGTGAAAGTATACATTTCTGTGTCTTAAATAAGCACAAATTTTTTTAGATAAAAAAATCAAGAAGTTTCCGAGATATTCATTTTTTCGGTCTGAAACACTTTTTTTCAAAGAAAAATTCTACTTAGGAAAATCATGTACCGAGTTCTGCCAGTGATAATTTTTTTCGTTTTGACGTATACTTTTTAATGAAATAAAAAAATCTGTAATCCCAGTTCAAAAATATGCTCAAAAATGTAAAAAAATTAAAAATGACGCAACTATAAATTTTTCAGTAATTGTTGATAATTTGTTTAAATTTAAAAAAAAAATCAAAAACTGATTACAACATTCAATTGTATGGAAAAAATACAAAAAAACTGTCTCATTGTTTGACCCAAAACTTTATTTTTTGTACAGAACATAAGTCGAATAGTGAATAAATAAAATTGGTATTTTTTTCTGTAGAATTGAATGGTGTAATCAGTTTTTGAATTTTTTTAAATTTAAACAAATTATCAACAATTACTGAAAAATTCATTGGTGCGTCATTTTTTATTATTGTTGCATTTTTGAGCATGTTATTGAACTGTGAATACAGATTTTTTTATTTCACCAAAAAGTATATGTCAAAACGAAAAACATGATTACCAGCAGAACCCTGTATGATGATATTTCTAAGTAGAATTTTTCTTTGAAAAAAAGTGTTTTAGACCGGAAAAAATGAATATCTCAGAAAATTCTCGATTTTTTTAACTAAAAAATTTGTGGTTATTGACACAAAGGTATACTTTCACCAAGTTTCGTCAAAATTAAATTATTTTTGAGGAAATGAAAAAAAAAAAACGAAAAATGATAAAAAAAACTGTTTTTTGCATTTTTCTCGGAAATTTTGAGGGTATCCTAAAAAGTGACCTCTACAAAAGTTGTAGATTTTTGCATGGTCTACAACATTTGTATTGGATACCTTTTTGTTTGACGTCAACTTTCGCCAGAAATCCCAATGATTACAATGAAACAATTATACAATTTTTCACAACTTTTCAACCCCCCCAAATCAACCCTCCGCCACCCCTGCTCACACATTTATTTTTTTAAGGCTTATTATAAGCCCTTTTACTATTTCCACTTATAAAAGTCCAGGTAACATTTTTTTTTCTTTAAGTGTAATTTGGTTGGACTAATGAGACAAATAGTGTTTGCTAAGGAAAATCAGTGACAGGAAAAGAAGGCCTTTTTAAAATTGAAATCAGTACTTTACGTCCCTCGAATGAAATTAATGAAAAAGTTTTACAAAATTAGATGATTTTAGCACCAAAAACAATTTTTTGTGACAAATTTGACTCGTATTCTGCACATTTACGCTATTGGATATAAAATGATTTCAATGAAACTCTCAAAACATCCTGTACATATTAGATTCATTTATCTTTTCATTAACAATTTATTGTATACTTTGCGATACAAATTTAGACAGTAATAATATTATTTTTAGATTAAATAACGAGTACGCATGCGCAAATTTTTATTGCATCGTTATCTCGACCCTAGACTAATATTTATTGTGTATGTACTTTACGATAAGATCTGACTGCTTAAGCGTACCTCCTTATCAAATAAAAGGAAATTAATTTGGGCTGCATGCCAAAATCTGCAAAAACAATTAATATATTTTGTTAAGTAATACAGGATTATAATATAACGCATAATTTCAATTTTTTCTCTATCACTGTAAAAAAAATTGAAAATCCGTGCTCGAAAAACTATAAAACATTCGCAGAACTAAGAGTAACTAAAAACAGATAAATTTCAGGTAGTTAAAAAAATCAACTTCAAACGTGAACGTACCTTGACAGCATCCTCGACTTGCGCCACGATTTCATTCACGTTCTCCTTGTCCAACTCGTCGCTTTTATCATCTATCAGGACATCATCGCACAGCTTTATCAACCGCGCCACGCTCTGGTACATGCGACATATCGCCGACTTAATACTGCTGGAGCTGTCCGCGGATACCGACGACTTCACCGATAGGTTTATGGCCCAGACCGTGTCCAACACGATAGTGCCGTTGCCCGGCAGCATTTCCAGTTTCTGTTTCGAAACGACATCTCTGGAACGGAAAAGGATAGTGTGAGCATTGTGGCTACTTTTTTGGAATGAAATCTGCTACGAAAGTATAATAAATATACAACAAATACATAAAAATAAACAAAAAGTAAAACAAATAAAAATGTACAAATATATACTAAAAGCAAAATTATTAAAAATGATCAGATACTGGGTGCCCTATTAATGTAGTAAACTACAAGAGCTACATTATTATTTGAAATACAAAAAAAAAATAAAACAAAAGTTAGAGGAGACCAGAGATTTTATTTTTAAATATATAGGGTGATGTATGAAATGGTGCACGTTAAATAGAACATCCTACATATTTTTAAATATCTGCTTACATAAATAAAAATTAAATGTTGTTTGTTGGTAAGCGCATCACTTGACAACGGCTGGACCGATTTGGCTAATATATTTTTTTAATGTTCGTAATAGGTCAAATAAGGTTTTTAGAGAAAGAAATATTGGGAAAGTTACCAGATTGGAAAATTCTGGAAAAACTGAAAGTGTTTTTTTTCTATGGGATATTTGTATGTACTTTTGTTTTGTTTGTTACGGTCTTGAAGAAGTTTTCAGGAAAAAAAATGGAGACAATTACAAACGAAAGTCTGAAAATTCGGAAAATGTAAAAATCGTAGTTTTGTATACACTCTCGATCATAATTGACGATAGGAACGACATATTTGGTTGATTCTTTTTTGTTTTGTCCCTTGGACAGGTCAGTCTGTCGGGTCAGATAGTTTATAATAATTTGACAATTATACAGAAAATTTCTTAAATTCTGTGATAAACATGATCTGTGAAAAATGGTAATAATTTACAAAC